TATTCAACAATATACCAGTATATTTATATATATATAAATTATCTATCCATATATTCAAATATTCTCAAACAAATAAACATATTAATAATTGTTATAGATATACTTATATTTGTATTACTAATCTTGTCAAAACCCTTGTAATAACGTTTTATCATTGGGAAAATAAACAGGTTTACGCATTGTTGTATTTTAACACGGGTCCAAATTTGTCTCTTGAATGGCGCCCTCTGTCGGCAGCTTTGTTTATATGTACGGTACATGAACATAGACTTGACTGGCCATGTATAGGCATGTTAAAAGGTTTTGACCGATTTGCAGTAGAAGACAGTTTGTTATTTCCATAGATTGAAATTAACGATTGTGTGTAGTCATTGAATATAAATCAAATAAGAAGCGTTAATCATTTCGAATACCGGCGTGGGTGTATAAATAGTTCAACGTGAATGTCACACGTGAACGTGTGAGTATTCTGCCTGGCGCCACCACTCGTTTATTGATTAGCACTGATGGAGAGTTTGTATATATATATGGTTAATGATACAATGCATAACGATTTCATCTCCAGCTTGATTAAAGCATGACAACATTTCCTTAGATCGGTGACATCTTCGAGAAAAATAACGAACATATATATAGTGCGATGACGAATAAAGCTTGTACCCCTATGGTACAATGGTTTATTCCACCAACAGTGTATAGCGTGCCATGCGCACAGCAAAACAAAAGTAAACATACTGTTATCGCGATGTACGCTTTGAAAACTACTGGCGGCATTTCACACATACCTTTGTTAATATGGAATGGCTCCACCATATATAAGCGGGCTACATTTTTAATTGGCATTTGAATATTTCTCAAGCTCGCATATAGATATTCGTTCCGAAAGACGACAAAAAAAACATGTTACTGGGAACTGTGCAGATAGCGGGAGAGACTCTGACATCGAGAGAGGTTGGAGATATTTGTGAATCGTTCGAGAGCCAAACGCTACGTTTACTGTCCTTACGCGGCTGTAAAATTATGGACAGGGACTTCAAAAAGATGATGACTGCATTTGGAAACTGCACTTCAATTGTAAACATGAACCTGAATTTGAAGGTAATATCTCATGTTTCGAGGACGAAGCTACTTGCTGAAGCGTTATATAAAAACAGATCATTACGTGCTTTGTTGTAAGTACCATTCCTATTGTACATCCGAGGTTACACTGTTTAAGGTCCTTACTTTATATTTGGACAATACCACACCTCACCTTTTGTTCACAGCATTTTATTGTTTTCTGTTTTCTTGTTGCATTTAAGGTCAATTATGTGCGAGATACGATAACGGCACCCGAAATAAGTAGTGAGCCCATTTTAAAACCACGTCGATTCAAACGAAAACCGCAAAATAATGCACAATGGAGTGAAATATATTCCGAACAAAGTGGAACGAATCTTATTAATTCTCTACAAAGTTGCACAGCTAACGGCCGCAGAGCGAGGTTTCTGTGAGGCATGAAGTTTTAATACCAGTGTTTTGTTACATGATTGTATTTACCCCGCAATGTTTAACTACTGTACTGAAGTGTTTACATCGGCTGATAGTAGCATCGGGTTGCACGTTATAAATGTATGGTACTTTTGATAGGCGTGTTTGGCTCGAAAACGAAAAAAAACACAACTATTATGACAATGCGTGGAATATTATGAGTAATGAGGTCAAGGCAGAATTACAAGACAACGTTGACCAACAAATAATGTCACATATCAAATAGAACAACAAATTGGTTGAAACTTTAGCTTTGCCTGTCACTGACTCACTTATTAACAGGTGGTCGAAACATTATGTTATTCCTCCCTGCCGACTAAGTTATCTGTTATGTTTTGTATTCTAATTAGTTTCGGTTTCTTGGCAATCAAAACAGCAAGTGTGAGTTAGTGATCAACAATAATGATTCTCATGCCTGATAACTATAATTGTATCACACTGGAGGAGTGAAGAGAAAAGCTATCTTTGTGGCTTTTCACAATTTATATTCTGATCCAGTTGTTTTTTCATACTCCTTGATTGTATGCAAGTGATCCCTAGTGAGCGGAACTGTAATTTAAATTGATAGGGTAGTTTATTCCCCTCTGGTAATGCGATCAAATGTTAATGGTACAAGGCGTTAAGTGAATTTAACACCAACACCATACATCCCTAGAGACAAGATAGTAGCTCGCTTTTCAACCTTAATATTACACTCCATTTGATGTACTTAACCGAGAGTGAAATGAGATAAAATATGCAAAAAAAACACCAAAAAAAACCTCAATATGTTCATGTTACTCTGTATCACACAGTACTGCAGTTTGATTTTGGTAATTTTACAATTTCTATTTTTAATCTCATGATGTAATTTGACCTTTGACCTTCCATATATAATATAAAACAGCAGAGTATTGGCGCTGTCTGTTGCTTGCAACCAGATACGATTATATCAAATGA